ATTTAACACAATTAAAGCCATGTGTAGAAGAAAAACTATAATCAATTAAAAGAAGGTTACTTCTGCTGATCACCAGCTGCCAGCAGTTTGGCAGATCGAATCTCACCAGGCTCAAGGTTGACTCAGCCTTCCATCCTTCCAAGGTGGGTAAAATGAGGACCCAGATTGTTGGGGGCAATAGGCTGACTCTGTAAACCACTTCGAGAGGGCTGGAAAGCACTGTGAAGTGGTATATAAGTCTAAGTGTTATTGCTATTGCTGTTAATTTAGCTTCAGAGGAGATCCAGAGACTGTGAATGTGAAAGACACAAGAGTTATGTTAATTAAAACTATTGACCCAACTTTAACCTGAAGGCAAATGCTGAAGAGAATCTTTGCTTCTCTGAAGGCTTGGACAAAATGACCTCCCCCCCAAACTCCATGGTAGTCTTCTTCTGTCCTACAGAGCAGAGGTATCTGTGGGATTGGGGAGTTGCGTCAAAATGGTGAAAGAAGTTCTATGCTATTGCAACATGAGTTCCAATCATTTGATTGATGACTGTGACATTATATGGGTAAAATTAATATAATGTACATGTACAAAAGGAATGGAATTTGTATTGTTTCCCCCTTTGACTCTTGGTGCATGGATATTTCTGCCGGCATGAATGGCTACTGCATTTTGCTAGTATAATAAAGAAAATTTTTCCACTGGAGTGCTGCCTCAACACTTACTGCTTCCGGGCAATGCTGCTTTTCCATAAGCCAATGATTTTGTTTTTACTTCTACAAGGCCTTATAAAAATTTAAAAGGGCAGAACTTTAGAAGTGGGCCTAGGAACAAAGGAATTCAAGCATCTGGTCATTGGCATATCTCTGAAATGGCACAAACAATACCCATATCAGTGGAAATAAAAGCAACTACTAAAAGGATAAAGAATTCATGGACCCTCACACTTGGTAATCTAGATTTCATATCTATTTTGATTTTAGAAAAGTGCTAAACCTACCATAGAAAATCATGGATTTGATTTGGATATATTATGAAATAAATTTTCTTTAGATTTTCATAGCATTCCCTATGCTGGGAGATCTTGTTTTTCAGAGGAGTGTAATTTTTCCCAATCACATTTTTATGGGGGGGGGGGGAATAGCCACCAGATTGTGATAGGTTCAATATTTCCATAAAGACGTCAAAGCTGCAGCACTTTCAAAACTATAGGAAATGACATTAAAATGGCAGCCAGATGCTTTAGAGGGTGCTAAGTGGTCATGGTTTCTGCTATTAGCAGTTTGAATGTTGAAGCAGTGTGGCTTCACCTCAATAATGGTTGTAAAACTTGTGCAATCTAAAAGTATGACAGAGGTCAACAATCACAAGACATCCTCCGTGTTCAGCTTCTACACTACAGGCTGATTTGTGTAGGTGTTGCTACTTAATGCAATTAAACATTTGACTAATCATACATTTTCATAATGGCTCCCCAGTTTTTGAAGATCACCTTATGTTTATCTAATTCCAGACTGGCAAGCAATTTGGATATTTGAAGACTATTTGCAGGGAGCATATAAAGAGCACTGATAATCAGCAAAAGATGGAGTGAAATTATTTCCATGTTAGATCTGCTTGACATTCCAGTATTACATCAAATTAACTCTCTCTGGGTTTATAGCAAATGCACCAAGGAGAGAAAGTGTACGTGAAAGGGAAGCCCATATATTCATATGTCTGTTTCATTCTGTAATCAGTGGCATTAAACCCTTTATTTGTGGCTGCCAGAATCTCAGAAATCCAGTGTTAAATTTTGACAAACTGTTTAAAAATGGTGGCATAGCTTCTCACTTTTATTTTATAAAGGAGGGGAAGAAAAAAATGTACAGAGTTTGTATGTATGTTTGAGGCACGAACTGTTCCCAAAATTCAGAAAAGGTTATCTCAATTTTGTCATGTCTATATTCATGTATAGGTTCAGGAATTATATTGTTTCTCTGGACTCTATTATCAGTCTGTAGTCTGATAATGAAAAAGAGCTCTTACATTGAGGTTCTCTCACCCATGAGTTTTTGGATCATTGTGGCCTTAAAATAGTCACCTATTTGTTAACAGGAGATTAATGGGAGTACAGATAGTCCTCAGCTTATACAACTGCAACTGAGTCTAAAATTCCCATTGGTCAATTTAACAAGATTTCACATAATAAATAACTTTTATCCCTGTGGAAACAGACTCAGGCTGTCAACTATGTACTTTTATTCTAAAACTTGAACAAGAAGAGTCAGATTCTCCCTTTATTATGAGCTACACCTAGAAGAATGATTGGTAGCTTTCTATTTAAAGAATTTTTTTGTTCACTTTGCTAAGAAAATGTATTTTACCCAATGAGAATTAAGAGTTCCTGCTTGATTCTGTTCTTTGTTATGCATCTCATGATAACATATTTAGTCTATCTTTTTTCATTCTATTGATCTATGATTGCAGTAAATTATCACTGTATTTTATTCCTGGGGATAAGGATGATGGTTTTCCACAATTTCTATTATTCATTTTATGCTACACTTTTTCTGAGTTCATAATGTCAGGAACCTGATTCTTAGGAATTAGACAGGCCAAGATGAATTAAATTTCTCAAACTTATTATGTTCATCCTTTTTCCCAATAAGTCATGGGAGACATTGCACATGTAGGAAGGCAGAAAATGGAAAATATGAGCATAGCTGACTATAAAATAGCAAACTATATTCAAGCCTTCAGCAGACCACTGACTAGTAATTGCTCATATGTGTTTTAATGGGCTATCCAAGACCATATTTCATGTATAATCTACAATGTAGATGCCTCTTTACAGATTAAACTAAAAGAAGTATCTGGCATGAAAACTTAAATATTATTTTCCAAATTATTTGTTTGTAACAGGAAGCTCCCAAATCAGAGCCGATATGTGATGAGGATGATGTTTACTATCCACATACTGATTTAATTAATAAATGAGTAGCACCCAAGATCAGAGCAGCACTTCGATTATTGCCAAGTCCAAAGGCTACAGGAACTGATGGAATAACCACTGAAATATGGCAAGCAAAAGAAGAATCATTTAAGGTTCTAAACAGCTGTGCCAGCTAATCTGAAGAACAACAACATCCAGCAGATTGGAAAAAGCCAATTCTAATTGAAAATGTACTCAGAGAATAGAGTTCTAGATCACATCATGGTCTTCATGAAAAAAGTATATACAGGTCAGGAAGCCACAATATGACTGAACACAAACTGGCTCCAGGTTGACAAAGGAATGGGATAAGGCTGAATATGTTCCCTTTCTTTATTTAACCTATATCCTTAATATACATTAAGAAAAGCCAGATTGGAAGAAGATAAAATTGGCTTTAAAATTGGAAGAAAAGATAACAACGTGTACTACGCTGATGACACTAAATTGATTGCTGAAAATGCAAAGGATCTGCAAGCCCTCATACTAAATGCTGGGAGTACAGTGGGGAAAAATGGGATTAAAATTAAATATGAAGACAATCAAACTAATGACAAGAGGTAGAACAATAAGGTTTCGAACTGATGATGAAGATAAGTGGTGGATTGCTTCTGCCTTTTAGGATCAACCCCCAACAGTGAAGGAAGAAGTAATCAAGAAATATATTGTAAAGTAGCACATGATAGAAGAGATATGGAGGACTTGGAAAAGACATTTCAATGATGTGATGGGTCTATTCATACAGTATCATGCAAGCCATGGTATTTCCTTGATACTCAATGGAAGTGAAAGTTGGATTTTAAAAATCTAGAACAGGAACAGTACTAGCAGCTTTGAACTTTGGTGTTGGAGAAGATTGCTGAGAATACCATGGGCAGCCAAGAAAACAAACCAATGGATCATCCAACAAAGCAAACTAGCATTCTCACGAAGCACAAATGACCAGGTTCAAATGATCCAATTTTGGACACATATGTCCTAATTCTCTGGAAAATGCTGCAATGCTGAGAAAGGTAGAAGGAAGGAGAAGAAAAGGACAACCTGCAGGAAGATGGATGGTTCAGTTACAGTTGCAATGGGTGCACTGTTGGGACACTTGAAAGATCAGATTGGGGATATATCATCATGGAGAAAATCTACATATGTGATTGTGAGGAGTCAATAATGACTTGATGGGATATAATCAATGAGGTTGATATAGAATACTCTTTCTATGAAGGGAAGGACTTCAACTATAAAAAGCTTTGGATCCAGCAAAAGGTTTCTAACGTCAGAAAGGGGGAAATTGCTATTCCTTCTCTATTTACAATCCCCAGAGTCATATCCACGTAGTTTGAATCACCTAGAGCACATCTTTAAAAAGAAGACAAATCTGTAGAAGAATGGGCTCACCCACAAAATTCATCTCACCTTTTTCTTTTGGCAGAACTATGAGATTCTGTCTCCCTTCCAGCAGTATTAATGAAAATGTTGCAGAGAATCAACAGCCCACGGAAATATCTCTTTCCTTCAAATACTGTCTGTCATTGACTTCAATTTGTCTGCTTGCCTTCATCAATATAGATATACAAACTTATGTCCACACATACACAAACATTCCTACATGCACATGCATATAGTATACACACACACACACACACACACACACACACACATACAAACATACAAACACCACAATCACTGGTATCTGATCAAACTGGACAAGATGAATGTGTCATCATAGCCCTATATCTTCAAATGGGATGAGCTTGCAGTAAAATGGTACTTCTGCCATCTCATAGACACCATTGCCTATGTCGTATTTTAGTTAAATGTATGCCACTTTGTGAATGTTTAACTTTCTTGAAAGGCAACAATACTTTTAAAATGCTTATTATTATTATTTTTTGCATTGTGCCAAATCTAGTTGTCAGATACAGATTTGTCAGGAAAAAAAAAATCTTTATGTTTTTCTGCTTTGAGATCACAATGGTCAATTCCGTTCTTTCTCCCTTTCTTTTCTTTTTCTTTTTTCCCTTTTAATAACTTCTCACTCACCATGCAGCTTCTTTTCTGAGTTCAGCTAACTTGTGTAAGCGTTGAAGAGCTTTCTCTTGTTTCCTTTCATCCTTTCTTGATTTGGATGCTACATTCCGAGCAAACTCCCTCTGCTTTAGCTCCTTGAGCCTCTGTTGGAAATAATTGGAAGCAAGCAAGAAAAAAGAGAAATGTTAATGCAGAGAAAGGAACTTCTATGAAAATATCACTTTGCAATACCACAATTTAATGTTGACTACACTATTGGACAGGAAGAAATGAAAGTGCTCTGGCATTGCTGCCATGTACTGTTTTTTAAAAAAATCAGCAAGAAATTCAGGGCTGCTTATATTTTGTTTAATGTAGTAAGATCCAGCTTGCAATTTCTCAAAAATTCCATTCTCCTATCTTATTCCCAGGTCAATTTATTTCTTGGCATGGTATTTTTGAGTTTATTGATAAATATACTTGAAGTGGCTGCAGTGGTTATTTTTCTTGTTTGTCTCACATAGTTTAATCCCTCTGAAAGACCCTGGTACTCAGCAGAAGCAGCTTCGAGCAGGACTGTTCTGCACTATCTTCCATTAGGATTTAATTGATCCATGGGAAGTTAGCAAATGTAGGATGCTGGAACAATAATTCCGCAATGAAATATTATACGTTCTAAAACACAACCAGGTAACTACCAGAACACCATATTCTAAATATAAGAATATTACTGAGATTTTCTTCTCCTTGAAATAATTTTCAACAGTCATTCTTTTTTCATGAAATCCCATGAGAATTGTTCAAGAAAAAAATAAAGAGGTTTTCTGGCAGAGCCTAAATAAAATCCTCTATTTCTTTATTGTTAAAATATTAGTTTAAAATGAGACATAATTCCTTACATTTGGGCATTTGGGGGAATTGATATTGTTTGTTAGCAATAGTAGCAATAGCAATTACACTTATATACCACTTCATAGGGCTTTCAGCCCTCTCTAAGCGGTTTACAGAGTCAGCATATTGTCCCCAACAACAATCTGGGTCCTCATTTTACACACCTCGGAAGGATGGAAGGCTGAGTCAACCTTTGAGCCGGTGAGATTTGAACAGCCGAACTGCAGAACTAGCAGTCAGCTGAAGTAGCCTGCAGTGCTGCATTTAACCACTGCGCCACCTCGGCTCTCTTCCCCCCCCCAAAAAAAAACCCACTTTGCCTTATGACTCTGAATACCCAGATTGTAAACCTTCTCCCTCTGCACATCCAAAAGCTACTCGAACATCAACAGAAAATCCCAATGTACAAACAGTAACTCTGTCTCGCTTGATTTCAACGATCCCAAAATTGCCCTAACATGTTTGAAAGTTAGGTAGGCATATCTGGGGATGGGATTCTACCGGTTTAGACCAATTCACCCAAACTGGTAGCTCCAACAATCAGCTAGGAGTGAACCAGTTTGCTCCCACAATCAACTGGGCCTGACCGCCACCCCCCCCAACCCTATGCTTTACCTACCTTTCTCAGCTGAGTCACGTGGCAGAGTGGATTGCCATGCCTCACTGTTTTCCTTCCCTAGCGGGAATCCAGAAAGTAAATATTCTCTGAACTACACATGTGTGATTGAAGCACACGCATGCTCAGCAAACTGGTTGTTAAACCAGTAGAATCCCACCCCTGGGTATACCTGCAGAATAATTCTTTGCATGAAGCTGCACTAGCCCTCAATCCAGAATGAAGCCCTGTCAAGTGACAGTATTTTTAAAAGCTGTTCAGCCCTCCTAAGCACCACAAAAAAAAAAAAAAAACAGCTTAAAGCTGCATTGTGGAAGTTGTGCATAGTCATTCCATTGAGTTAATCAAAGATTAAACTTTTCAATCTGCTGTGTATCCAAACAAGCTCCAAAAAATCAAACCCATTACATGTTCAATCTTGGAAGATAAACACATTCCATTAGTGTAATAAAAAATGGCCAGATGAATCAATCAAACACTGCACTACTTTATTAAGAGCAATCTTTTAAAACAAATATTTACACTATGGCAAGCAGTAGCAACCCTGCTCTTCTCCTGCAAGGCTGCCCTAAAGCTACTACTAGCTATTGTGACAAGGGTCCTTTTTTTAAAGCAAGTTTGAATTCATAAAAATGAAGCCTGTGATGACAGATATTGGGATAAACCTGGAGCCACATGTGGCACTTTCATCCCCCTACTGTGGTTCTCTGTTGGCTGAACCCACCACTGGCTGGCCCTGCCCCTCACTCTCCCCTTCCAGTCACTCCTTACCTGACCTGAGATGAGAGAGGGGGTGAGAGAAAGAGACACAGAGAGAGGAGAGAGAGAGAGAGAGAGAGAGAGAGAGAGAGAGAGAGAGAGAGAGAGAGGGAGGGAGGGAGAGGGAGAAAGAGAAAGAAAGAGACAGAGGGGGAGAAAGAGAAAGAGAGAGAGACACACACAGAGAGAAATACCCATTTCCCACAGAAAACATCGGGCGCCACAAAACCTCAGTAGGCATGGCTGGGGGGGGGGGGTTTCATGTGACTGGGTGGGAGTGAGTGATGTTGAGTTGGCCATGCCCACTCAGGTTTTGTGGCTCCCAGTGTTTTCTTTTCTGTGGGAAATGGGTCCTAATGGCTCTTTGAATGTTTAAGGTTGCAGACCCCTAGGATAAACAAATTGCAGAAGAAATATTTTCAGAGTAACATGAATACCTGCAAATAAACAGAATTCAAGTGTCGTCTCCCCGTTCTCACATTTCTCAGTGTTTTGTCCTATGGTTTCATTACAGAAGGCAAAAGATTTGCTCTGATTTCCAACTATACAAGGCAAATGTATTTTGCTGTCTTATCTGAGCAATGGTATTAATGTAATCACAGATTTTGTTAGTAACAAATTATAAAAATAAAACTAGTAAAGTGGAGAAAATTATTCATTTTGAATTTTAAGATGAATTTATTTATTTCTGCATTTTAAAGCTAGAACAGAAACTGAAAGTAAACAATCCAGCAAAAATATGTAGTTCTATAGTAACAAATGTTATGGAAAATTGCATCCAAAATATGCAAGATTTTAAAATAGAACATAATACTTTGAACAAAACAAAATGTCGGTGAAATATGCAGATATTTTCAGTGAGAACACCTTGAGGTAGTCCAAAATATTGTCAGAAGAAAGGGGATAAACATTACTCTAAACCAGTGCAGCTAATGATGATTTAAGCCTTTTTCTTATACCATACAAACAGGCAAATGGAGTAAGAACTTCATCTTTGAGTAATGTAACTCAGAGAGAAATAATCAGAATAATCAGTCCTTCCACATAAAAGTTACCTGAGTTTTCTCTAAACCTCGTATCTTGCAACCAAATCAACTGATCTCTCTTTGTAATACTTGTTCTGCAACATAACTTTCTCAACTGATTGTTCTTCACTTGGTACTCCTTATTACTTACTTCTCACTTACTTACTTCAATGATTTGGAAACTTCTTGGTTTAAGGTTACAGCTAGAAACACTCGGCATATTCATATCTCCTTGGTCTTGGACTGATAGATCTCATCTTCGGTAGAGTATCTCCTAGGCTATTTTCCTCCATTGATATTTCTTTCCTATTAAACTTTCAGCTTTCCTGAAGGATTTTTTTTTTATTCCATTGCTGTTAAGTTTTTTTTCCCCGGGTTTAAATTTAGCTGCCAGGATTTTGCTTCTTTACCAATACCATGCTTACTGGAGATATTTTCCTTTCATTTTATTTTATTTGGGGGGGGGGCTAATATTTACTTATCCTTTTTTCCATGTTTCTGTTCTTACCATACACATTTACTATGCAGTGTGTTAAGACTTCACACAAGGTGTGACAGTACTGTCATCTTGAAACTTCAGACACTCCTACATTCAGGAAGTTGCTTATAACCTAAAGCTTCACAAATATAACTTTGTTCATCAACTTTCCTGAATGCAATGATGAAGTCATGTATACATAGAGAATCTGACTGCTGCAGAATATGGAAACAAGCTCTTTCAATAAATGTGCCTTCATGTTTACATGCTAGGCTCTTTTGCCCTGCCTTTTGGGTCAATGGACTTTTAGCGTCTACATATAAAAGGTTGTTTCTTGGCCTGAGAATTGCTGGCCCTTGTCTTACCAGTTTTAGCTGTCATGATTACAGACTCCAAATTTTTAGCTTACTTTTGTTCTTATTTTTTTTTTTAATGAGAATTGTCTTCATTGGATCAAAGCATTCAACCCCATGTGTAAAGTCGTTAATGAGTAGATATGAAGTGATGATCTGCAATTCTCATTTGATCCCAATCTTTAGGATTTAAATAAAGCCACAAAGTCTCTGGGGACCTTGAGACTTCTGCAATGTTATTTACTCCTTTTTCTTCCTTGGTCTTCCACCTCCCGTCTTTCTCACTCCTCTATTTATAGATCTGCTAAGATTTTAATTGAATAGAATATAAAAGAATAATGTATATAAGGTATTATGGTAACTGGAACATACAAGTCCTGTTAAATGATATTTAGGTGTATGTCAGTGGTTTGCAAATGGCCCAGTTGGGTCAAATATAGCTGGGGAACACAGGCGGGTGGGTGGGCCCTCCGAAGCACCAGAACGGTGTCTGTTGCTCCTAGCAGGCACTGGTATGCCTGTATCTGGGCGTACCTCCTGCAACCCACCACTGGTGTATGTGTATCAGCACTCACTGTTTCAACAGCTTCTGTTCCTATGGTTAGGGTTAGTACTGAGATATTCTCCTTCATGGAACTAACCTAATTTAATTCTGCAATTTATAATTATAGCTGGCTGTACTAATTAGACTTTCCTTTCCCCTCTCTCCTCTCTCTTCTCTCCTTTTTCCTTTCCTTTCCTTTCCTTTCCTGGAATCTTTATGCAGTGCATTTACAAACAATATTTATTTGCTCTTTATTGTTTCTACATGCCCACTTTTTTTCATTTGGACTGTACACGCACTTGTTGATTCATATGCTTTCATAATTAAAAGGATGCAAGAAAAAAAGGCAAAGTGAATTATTATACTTGAAATGGTTGTTATTTCAATGGTCCATTCTCACTTTTTAAGAAACTCCAATACATGTTAAGGAGTACCAATACATTGTACAGCAATTTAAATAATCATGATTTCTATTGCTACTATTTTTCAGATGGAGCT